ACGCCGACCTCCGAAGGAGAGGCACGCAGGTCTGGAAGGCTAGTCAGATGCCCCCTGTGTAGACAGCGGAAGCAAGAGACGGAGAAGCATTTGTTTTACGATTGCCGGGTGGTCACACCGACACATCAACTCCTCAGAGAAACAATAAACAAACACGCAGGCAAACAAATAAACCTCTTCAATGCAATCTTTCTTAACACTGTCCCAGTACGCGATAAACAGTCACACACAAAAAACCTACAAGCTTTAGCACAGTACAGACTACTCGTTTGGACATGCAGAAATTTTGCTAAATACCACTTCAGAACTTACAATCCACATTTATTCTTTCTTATGTTCAAATACAAACTACAACAAATTTTTCCTGAGGCAGCAGATGACACCTAAACTGCCCGCCTACACACATTTATTTATTTATTTATTTCAATTTGTTTATAATCTGGTTTCCCCTTTAAACTCATGCTCATCATCATCATCATCATCATAGAACACTTCTGCCGTAAAGCGGCGTGGGGAGAGACGATCGGCGATCCAGTGCACGATGGCCGCCACTGGCTATTGTGAGAGCAAGCCGGTGACCTTCCCATCCGCAGCGAGCGTTCAGCCGCTTCGCCAAAGCGACTTCAAATGTAAATAGTGTAAATATCCTTTCTCTCCCCTAGTTTTCATTCCCCTCACTTTTTTTTTTTTTTTCCAAAACGACTCTTGCCTTGGGATTCAAAAGGTATAAGAAACTGCTATTAAGCAACGACAGAAGTGGCTAGTACTTAGATGGGTGACCACTTTGGAACACCACTATTTCAAACAGCTTATACATTTCCCGACCACCACCAGGGAAGCAAACAAGTCGCCCCCCCCTCCTTTTTTTTTTTTTTTTTTTTTTTTTTTTTTTTTTTTTTTTTTTTTTTTTTTTTTTTTTTTTTAACTATGTCACTTGTCCTTATGAACTATGTTTTGTCTCCAGTTTTCCTTCTTAGTATAATGCAAATATGCTCCCTCCGTCCCTCCCTTCCCTTTTCTCCTATGTTTTTGTTTTTGTTTGTTTGTTTGTTTGTTTATTTTGTTGTAGTCTGTTATTAATTTAGTTTTCTAAACTTGTACATAATTACAATGATGCTACTCTGATGTTTTTAATGCGAAATTTTTATAATCTTGTTTCCCCTTTAGGTTTTATGCTCATCATCATAAACCACTTCCGCTGTTTAAGCGGCGTGGGGAGAAACGATCTGCGATCCAGTGTATGTTGGCTGCCACGGGCCGTTGTCACGCCGTGAAGGCATAGAGTGTCCTAAGTGTTGTCATTCCACGTTGTAATGGCTTGACCTGGAACCAAGGTCATGTGTGAAGGGGCCCGGCTCCCCCACAGGGCGAGCCGGCGACCTTCCGACCCGCGGCGAGCGTCAAACCGCTCCGCTACGGCGATTTCCAGTCTACAAATGTAAAAAGGTAAATATCTTTCAGTATTCATCTTCACCCCCCCCCCCCCCCCCCACCACTTTCCTTTTATTTCTTTTTCACTTCAAAACTGTTGCCTGGCGATATACCAGGATAAGTAGCCGGTTAACAGCAATCACTCGAATTAAGCAACGTTTAAATGGGTTACCACTTTGAAATGGCGCGGTTTCGAACAGCTAACACATTTCCACACCACCACTAGGAAAGCAAACAAGTTGCACACCCCTGGACTATCTACCCTGTAAAGCTGAACTGTGATCGGTCTCCAGTTTTTCTTCTTTGTTAAATGCAAAAATGAGTCCCTGCACCCCCACCCCCCCCCCCATTTCCCCGTTTTTCCCGTATGTTTTGTCAGTCTATTATAAATTTAGTTTTCTAAACTTTGTATATAACTGCAATGTGATTACCTTGATGCTTTAATCTGCAATGTTCATAATCTTGTTTCCTCTTTGATTTTATGCTCATCATCATCATAAACCACCTCTGCTGTTTAAGCGGCATGGGGAGAAACTTTTTGCGATCCAGTGTATGTTGGCTGCTACTAGCTATTGCCACGCCGTGAAGGCGTGGAGTGTCCTAGTGTTGTCAACTTGCAGTCTACAAATGTAAATAGTTTTAAATGTGTCCCTTCTACTTGTCTCATTCCTCCCACTTTCCTCCTCTCCTCTGTTCTCCTTAACGACTCTTGCCTGGCAATCTACAAGGTATAAGTAACCGGTTAACAACCATTGAAATTAAGCAATGTCGGGAGTGGTTAGTACTTAGATGGGTTACCACTTTGGAACACCACAATTTCGAACAGCAAACACATCTCCCGACCACCACCAGGAAAACAAAGTAGTCACCCCTCCCCGTTTTTCTCCCTGGACTATCGCCTTTGTCCCCCTGAACTGTGTTTGTCTCTGTTTCCTTATTTGTTAAATGTAAATATGCTCCCTCCCCCTCTCCCACCCCTCTAATCCTATGTTTTGTTAGTCTATTGTAATTTAGTTTTCTAAACTTGTACATATTTGAAATGTGCCTACTTCATTTAGCAGTGTTCATAATCTTGTTTCCCCTTTAAGTTTATGTTCATCATCATCATTATAAACCACTTCCGCCATTAGGAGGCGTGGGGACATATTATCCGCGATTCAGTGTACGTTGGTTGCCACTGGCTATTGCCATGCCGTGAAGGCGTAAAAAATGCCTTTAGTGTTGTCGATCCACGTTTCAAAGTGTTTGACCTTGAAGCCAAGGTCATTGTGAAGAGTCAGGCTCCGCTGGAAAACGATCCGATCCGCGGCGAGCGTCTGGCCGCTTCGCCACGGCGACTTCAAATCTACAAATGTGAATGGGTTTAACGTCTTTCTCTTCCCTCGTTTCATTCCTCCCACTTTCCTTTTCTTTCTTTTTCTTTTTGAAAACTCTAGCCTGACGATATACCAGGTATTAGCAACTGGTTAACAGCAATCACGGAAATCAGGCAATGTCACGGTTGGCTAGTACTTAGTTGGGTGACCACTTTGAAACGCCACAGTTTCGAACAGCTAACATATTCTCCGACCGCCACCAGGAAAGCAAATAGTTTGCGCCGCCATCCCCCCCCCCCCCCCCCCCCACACACTTTTCTCCCTGGACTATCTCCCTTGCCCTCCTGAACTGCGTTTTGTCTCCAGTTTTCTTCCTGGTCAAGTCTGATAGTTTCACCATTCCTTGGACCTCGGAGGAGTCCTTTACTCAGGCACTTTCATCTCGCAGCCGGTGATTTTACGTATATGGGCTGTAAAAACTGTCCACGTCAAGCATTGGTTGCTTAATAAATGAAATGAATATCCCGTTAATAATCTGTCTCCTTGCACTCATAGTTAAGCCTAGATGGCTTAACTATGGTGAATACTACTATATAAATGCACTTGCTTTCTGACATGTTATGCTAGTTACCCCTACCCTTGTTTTCCTATTGACTATTTCCTTGCCCACCTAAAATGTTTTTTTTTTTTTTTTTTTTTTTTTTTTTTTTTTTTTTTTTTTTTTTTTTTTTTGCTTACGTTTGTCAAATGTAAATAGGGTTTCCCCGAACTCAACTTCCCCACATATTTTTATAAATATAACACAAGTATCGGGTCTGTATATATTTGAAATGTTTTTACTTGAAACGAAATACTTTAATTTCGCAATATCTAATGTCCTTAATTATGAAATGTAAATACAACGAGTGGTCCTTTTCTTTCTCTGCTCTGCCTCCTCCCCCCCCCCCCAACCCTCGTCCGCCTGCTTATTTTTTCGTCCCATTCTATCTTCCTTTTTTTTTTTTTTTTTTTTTTTTTTTTTTTTTTTTTTTTTGTCCGCAATGTCACACACACGCTTGCAACACTGAATACTAACAAACGGCAACACATGTAAAGAACACTGAACAAAATACACACACCACAGATGCCTTTTCTACGCTTCCTTCCCATAACCCTCAGGCGCTGTGAATGTTTCAAATTCTAAAATGTCCGTGATTACATGTTTGTCCCAATGTGGGACGACATTTTTCTTTAACCTGAAGCCCTACACTGGCTTTTGCCGATGGCCGCAAGAAAGCCCGACTGTTACACGCGGTTTCTGGGACCTCAACGAGCGATCCTCATCCGCAGCGTGACACTTGGTGTCACCGGGTGTCTATTGCCCGGTGTGATGCTCTGGTGAGTTTAAACTTACTTTCAATACCACCTTACAGACAGAACAAGCTGGAAGCGCGGACGCTTTGTTTACATTTGCCCTTTTTCTGGCGACCACCAGAAGGGCAACGACGTAACGCCACTACGCCCTACCACCCCCCCCCCCCTCCCTCTACATTACTCTCTCATGGACTATTTTTCCCCTGTCCGTCTGAACAGTGTTTTTGTTCCTTTTCGTTGGTGTAATGTATATATGTGACTCCCTCTCACACATGTTTCTATAAATTTAACACAAGTTAATAATAGCCGAAAGGCACATGTAAATATATCCCGCTGCTTCTCCCTCAAAATAAATCTCTTATTTACATTTCATCCTTTGTTTCCCTTGTCCGCTTACGCTTTCGTGTCTCCTTTTCTCTTCTCCTTCTTCCCTTCTTTCTTTCATTCTCTCTTTCCACTCACTCTGTTGTTGTAAATATATATATATATCTTAAAACCTGTAAAACATTACCATCGAAAGTACCGTTTCCGCCAACAAACCCAATAGCCCCAGCTTTCCTCAAACTCCGATCCTCTCTGCCTCCCACTGTCTCTATTTCCTGTTAAAGGTTGGTGAGAAACGGTACGAATCACGAATCAGTATCATTTTTTGCACATCACCTTATTGATTTTGCTTTTGTTTATGTTTTTGAACCAATAAACAGATTAAAAAAAAAAAAAAAAAAAAAAATGGTCTGAACGCAGTTTCTGGGCAATCCTCATCCACATGGTGGCACTTTGTGTCATCAGGTGTTTATCGCTTGTATGATGTCCTGGTGGGGTAGAAAGTCAGTCAGTATCATGCTTCCCAACCCTAACCATCAGTTTATAATCCATTTACAAATGTTTTCTTCACATCAGGCTTGGGATGTTTATCACAGAGCTATCTGTCCCAATTTCAACCCAGCAGCCAGTCAGTTATATGCCTTGATTGAAAACAATGGCTTTGGCAATACTAAAGATGGAGAATGGATCGAGCTTTGGGGCGGCCATTACAGGTGCAGATTCTCTGAGTCAGATTCTGTTGTGTCTGACTTATGTTTGTTGTGCCAATGTTGTGTCTGACTTATGTTTGTTGTGCCAATGTTGTGTCTGACTTATGTTTGTTGTTCCAATGTTGTGTCTGACTTATGTTTGTTGTTCCAATGTTGTGTCTGACTTATGTTTGTTGTGCCAATGTTGTGTCTGACTTATGTTTGTTGTGTCAATGTTGTGTCTGACTTATGTTTGTTGTGTCAATGTTGTGTCTGACTTATGTTTGTTGTGCCAATGCTTTATTTATTGTTTATAATGGAAGAATAAATATAATTGTAACAAGAAAATTGGAACCAGATACAATTGATTTGTTAATTAGTTTCCCATTGCAGCTGCCAAGTTCCCATTGCTAAACATTTTGGGCCAAATGGAATAATTATCTTGTCTGTCAGGCTTCATACTCTCTCAGCGTGGCTCCTTGACATTAGGGCTGTTTCCCAAGCTGAAAGTGTCACTGAAAGGTTCCAAGTCTAAGTCATGTGACATGTTGTGGAAACTGACATCCAAGCAGAACTTCATTCCCTAAAAGTTAAAAAATAAAAAAGCCGTTTCCACACACATGGGTGAATTGGGCGTATAGGGCTGGACCTATATTTTATAGACCAATCAGCACTAGAGGGGTGATGTGGTCAGCATTACACTGGCTGCATTTACTTTCTAGGACTTTTTGGTGCTCATTTAAGGCTGTATCGACTTGGGAGCCAAGGTCATTTTTGAAAAAGTCTGGCTGAGTTTAGAATTGAACCAACATCTGTTGGATCCAGAGATTCCTAAAGTGGCTAAATAAAATTCTGTCAGCAATTTTGGGTTTCATGAGTAGAGTTTGCAGTGCTAGGAGACCATTTTAAACAGAATTAGAGTTTCCAACTTCTAGGTGAGTAATTTTACCAGCCACATGTCAGATAGTTTTTTAACAGACTTTGTATTCATATATTAAATACAAGCTCACTAAGAAGTTTGAAAAATGAAAATAACCTAATGGAATAATGAAACACACAGATGAAAGAAATGGTGACACATATTGATACACATATATGAAAAACATGTCAAGAACTGCACTTTTTGTATATTTATACTTTCCATTGAGTATTTTATGTTGTCTGATTTGATCAAAAAGTTTAACTGTAATTGCTGTTTCTTTTATTTTGTTTGATGGCCATTTAAACAGTGTATTTAAAACTAGTGTATTAATATTTAATATTAATTATTTTTGGCATGAAGTCCAATGATCTTAGCAAAAATCTGGGCAACAATAGTATCACAAGTCAGGAGTCAAATGGAGGCAGATGGATCAACAGCTCCATCAGTTGAACACTGGGCTCGAGCAAAGGCACCATTCAGAAGGTAGGATTTCATTGTCCTGTTTTGCACTTAATAAGCCATTGGCTTCACACCCTGAAAGTTCTGAAATTTGTGGATTCTGTCCGGGATGCATGAGGGCTAAACTAAATGTAGGGGTGAACCAGGACGAGGGCTCATATTGGTCAAGACCTGCCTCCACCTCCATGGTCATCCTAGAAAGAGGTTCCCAACAAGGGGACCTAACCAACATAGACAGGATCAAGGTTTCCTTCAATCAAAGTGCTTCTGCCTGAGAGTTGAGAAACCAACAGTCTGCTCACAAATAAACATGATCAGTAAAACAGATGTGCACCCAAAACTCACTTCCTGGAACAAGACCAAAGTCCAGAAGTGGACTTGTGACCAGAACTTTCTACCAAAATGTACAGCTAATGTATGCAAAGAATAAGAAGGATGCTATTCCTTGGGTCATGAGTGTAGGTGATTGAGATATCCCATGTGTCAATGCGAGTGAAAAATTTTGGCTACATTAAAAGATGTAACACTGTTATAAAAAAAAATCATTCTGGAAGGAAAATTGGACACAACATAAAGAGATTATTACAGCAGTTTGAGCATGCTTAAAAAAATTCCAAACTGGCAAACTCTGACTAGAGTGCGTTGACAGCACCCAGAAGTTATACCTGAAGTAAATATCTTGGCTGTACACACGGGGATACGCTGGGATGACAGGCAATGAAAAAGCTGATAGACTGGCTGTGTCTAGTTTAGTTAGTGGAGAAAGAAGTATGGACAGGGCAGACATATTAATAATGCTGCATCCAGAAGTCATACCTGAAGAAAATACCTTGGCTGTACACACAAGAAGTTGCCAGGGTGAAAGGAAACGAAAGAGCGTACAGACTGGCCATGTCTGGTGTAGTTAGTGGAGGAACATGTATGGAAGGGGCAGACATACTTAATATGCTGCATCCAGAGATGATGCATCACCTGCTGGAAATAAGTACTAAATGAAGACAAGCATGCTGCAACCAGTTGTACAGCAAAGAAAGAAGATATGCTAGTCAGCTCCTACTGGTGGGTATGGGGAGCATGGAAACACTGAGAAAATTGGTGCATTGGATGGTGGAGTAGGAAGTGGTCGGACATGTGATAGGCTGTCCATAACGAACAACAAGTAACAAGTTTGAGAGAGTATACAACTAGGATAAGAGACAGAGAGTGTTGGAGAGCCTCTGCAGGCAGCTCTTTATTGTGGTGTTGGCACCTGATTGATTGATTACATTGTTCATTTCATTGATTGTATAGTCTTCTCCTTATCCTGGGCTCATTATATTTATTCATCATTGTTTTTCTGTGACAGTCAGTACTGGAGCATTCTTGTCAGATGGTCAGGGGGTACTTTCTTATTAGCTGACCATAAAAGAGGAAATCCACAGGTCACAGGACAGTCAAATATTTCCGAGGAGGGTGGTAGATTAAGCATACAGTTTTGGTTGAGTTTAGGGTTAGGATTAGGGTTAAGGTTAGGTAAACGCATGAAAACCTTGGCCTCAGAAGAAATGCACTAAAGCACATTAAACACAGAAAACCAATCTTACCACCCTCTAAAATATTGGACTGTCCCGTGACGTCATTTGTGGTAGGCTAAAAATAAAGCACCGGTCAGAGTACTTCATCTGGTGCTCTTTAATTAATTGTACGAATGGTTTCAGTCCTAGTCTTCTTCTAATTTCTACTCGTCTTCTAATTTCTACTCTTCTTATAATTTATCATCATCATCAAGTGCCTTGCTGACTGGTATGAGCAATCATGCTTCCACAATCTGTGATCAGCAACTCTGTGTATCAGTTCGTGTGTTCACACTCCTCTAGTCATGTCCAAAAGGCTGTCAAGAGTCCTCTCACACTGTCTTCTTCTGTCTCTCTTTACACAGATCTTTCCAGTGGTCACAATATGTTCCAGTTCCCTTCTTCTCATAACATGAATGAAAGAAACGATGACTGTCTCTTTCTGATGTTTGTGATAAGCTGACTTTGAGCCTTCATCTTTTTTAAAACATTTGAGTTGCTCTTTTTTTGTCTTATTTATACTTTTTTTATATTTTATCTCTTTGTGTTACTTCATGAGCTCTTCTATGAGATGACCTCTGCAAAAAAAAAAAAAGTAAAGATCCCTTTTCACGCCTTTAGGCACATCGGGCATATGGGAAGAGCACCCATATTTTTACAGACCATTCGGCACTAGGTGGGTAATGTAGTCAGCATTACGCCGGCCATCTTTACTTCCCCAGGACACACATCCTGGTACCCATTTTAGGCTGGGTCGACCTGCGACGCCCCATACCACAATAAAAATCCATGCAGCCAGCAATGGGTTTCGATCGCAGTACCTTGGAATTATGAGTCTAAGCCATGGACGCTGTAGTTAATCTAGTAAAGATCCATATTTGACACTTGTCTTCTTAATCTTGCTATATCATTTAAATAAAGTTATCTTTCTACAGATTCATTGCTTTTGGAACAACACCAGCTATCAAACGTATGCCTCACATGCTTGCCTTCTTCCAGTCTGTTTTTCGCTGACTGTGGTGGCGGCCTAGGCTACCCAATCACCGAGGATGAGTTTAATGGACGCTATTATCAAGCTGCTTGCAACCTGCAGTGTTTTTCTCCTTCTATCACTCCATACCACAGGTTCATGGACAGCATCAAAGACGATATGAGAGCAGTATGTAGAGGAAATGAAACTGTTTGTGTCATTGCTTCACTGTGTTTCTTACTTACCGTACCGAGGAGCACGCCAAAGGACATGACTCCATATCCCTGTCTAGACTGATGGACATGGGGGTACAGCTTGGAGCTGCAAGAAATGAACATATCACTAAGAAGGCAAGACGTTTCATTAACCAACACAGAACGGCTTCATCAGTCGTTTTACACTTGTGGAGCTTTTGAGGAGGAGATCGGAGCACCTATGGATCTGTCTAGAGTGCTGTGATGATAATCCTTTCTAATCACTAATCACTGTGTTTTTTCTTCGCATTCACAAGCTGTAAACTCCAGCAGAAAGTTCCAGCTGCTCATCAGCTTCTTGACTGTAGTCCTATTCCAGAGCCTGAGTTTTGCATGCACATCCGTTTCACAGATCTGACTCATGCAGAATGTTGGTTCCTTACCTTTCAGGCAGATGTACTCCAACTTTGAAAGAAGCTCCAATTAGTAGACTCTTACAAAATCTTTGTGGATAAGCAGTGGGTCTATTCTTATTTTTCCCACAATGGGTTCTCCAGAACCAACACAGCAATTTACTGTGTTTTGTATCATCTAGTATTTTAAATAAAAATCATTACTATAACATTTGAATGACCTTGATGTACTAGGGTGGAGAAGCCCTAAGTACCAAGATAAAAAAAAGGAAAATAGTTCGTTTAGGTGGGGACTAGAAACAGGGATTTTCTAGTCCAGACACAAGATCTTCTGTGTAAAGTCTAATAAGTCAGGTAACAAATAAACAAACTACGCACACTAGCCACAAGTACTAATCCGAATCAAAAGCTTATCATTATCACATTCACATCTATTTATTTCACTGAACATCATCTAAGGTCTTCACAAATAATAATGCATTACAATTCACAACGTGTTAGGAAATACCCTACAATAGATGGAACCTATCTTTCTCTACTCATCTCAACCCACGTTGCGTAAAATCATTGAACGCAACGGACAAATCAGAACTACATGTTTCTCGTCCTAAAACCAGTGAGCCTAAGAGGGCGAAAATGGTCACTCCAGTCTGTTTTATCACTTCCTGACCCCCAAGTTGGCCAGGTTTTTAGGTCGCTTAAATAGGCCTAATTCAATTTATGTAACAGTCGTCCAGCGCCTATTTCATTGAGCTAGGGATCTTTAAAAACATTAACCTTGTCTCTCAGCTAGCCTGAAATAAAAAGGAAAAAAAGTAAAGATCCCTTTTCACGCCTTTAGGTGCATTGGGTATATGGGTATATGGGAAGAGCTCCCATATTTTTACAGACCATCGGCACTAGGTGGGTAATGTGGTCAGCATTATGCCGGCCATCTTTACTTCCCCAGGACCTAGCCTAAAATGGGTATGTAAAAATGCTCTCGGAAATAAAGGTGGCCTATGTGATATTGACCTCACCACCTATGTACTGCTGACTGGTCTTCACAAATATGGGGTTTGCACCATATGCCCAGGATGCTTGATGGCATTAAAACAAATTTTCAACTTTGATTCACTTGGTGTGCCTTAGTTTTTATTTATATTTTTTATGTATTGAAGTGTGGTATCAGCTACGTTAATGCAAGGAGCAGGGCTTTTTTTTTTAATGGTGGTATGCAGTACTGGCACCTTTTTTCCTAAGGCATTTTTTGTTTCAGCGTTACTGTAATAGACACTTTGTGGTGAGTACCGGCACCTTTTGTTATAGAGGGAAAAAAGCCCTGGCTAGGATTGAACTGTCTCGATTTTCAGTTTTGGCTTTTCATTTTTTTTTTTATCTGCCCGGGTACTTAATGCAGCTTGCCTATGAGGACACAAAAATGTTAAAATGCTGTTTAGAATCTGTATGGTCCTAAATTAAAACAGCAGAAATGAAATGTCTACAAGTATCCTAAATGTAACTAGAAGAGACAGGATCAGAAATGATATTTGGAAACAATTTTGGATGAAACCAGAGCTAAATTATGCCAAAAGACAACAGGTCTAAATTGTTTGGTCATGTGTCAAGAATACTACAGGATCGAGCACCACAGAGAATATTGCCACTTAGACCAATGGAAGCAGAACTAGAGGTTGCCCACTTAAGTTATGGATAGATGGCATATCTTAAGCCATTTATTCCAAAATCTACATAGCAAATACCAAGACTAATACATCATGCCTCTTTTTGCTGGGGTTTGCAGCCTGTGAACACTATGAAGAAGAAGAAGAAGAAGAAGAAGAAGAAAAAGAAGAAGAAGAAGAAGAAGAAGAAGAAGAAGAAGAAGAAGAAGAAGAAGAAGAAGAGAAGAAGAAAAAAAAAAGAAAAAAGAAGAAGAAGCAGAAGAAGAAGAAGAAGAAGAAGAAGAAGAAGAAGAAGAAGAAGAAGAAGAAGAAGAAGAAGAAGAAGAAGAAGAAGAAGAAGAAGAAGAAGAAGAAGAAGAAGCAGAAGAAGAAGAAGAAGAAGAAGAAGAAGAAGAAGAAGAAGAAGAAGAAGAAGAAGAAGAAGAAGAAGAAGAAGAAGAAGAAGAAGAAAAAAGAAAAGAAGAAGAAGAAGAAGAAGAAGAAGAAAAGAAGAAGAAGAAGAGAAAGAAGAAGAAGGAAGAGGAAGAGAGGAAGAGAGAGAGGAAGAAGGAAGAAGAAGAGGAAGAGGAAGAAGAAGAAGAAGAAGAAGAAGAAGAAGAAGAAGGAAGAAGAAGAAGAAGAAGAAGAAGAAGAAGAAGAAGAAGAAGAAGAAGGAAGAGAAGAAGAAGAAGAGGAAGAGGAAGAGGAAGAAGAAGAAGAAGAAGAAGGAGAAGAAGGAGGAGGAGGAGATTTAATATATATAAATGTGTAGGGAAGTTTGCAGTCATACATTTTATTTATCTTCTGCCAGATTGGCATGATTAAATATCTGAATGACAGACCACCTGAGGCTCAGTTTGCAGCTATGTGTCCTTTGCATGCCTGCAGCAATCACTCATGTTACAACAACGCAGAAGTCTGTGACCTTGACATAAATGGACGACCTGGCATACAGATGATTGCAAGAAGAGATATTAAGTATGATGATCTTTTTGCCTGTTTGAAATGGTTTGCTTGTTGTTTTGTATAGAATTGGTAAAAGTGTATGACTGTTTTGTTAGGTTGGGTTATGGTAAGATATTACTCTTCTTTGGTTATCCAGTATTTATGTATGTGTCAGCCAAAAAATTATGCTGTGTCTGTTCGCAGCAACACTGTGACATGTGCACTTTTTAGCTGGCCTTAAACAGTATCTTTAGGAATTTGTTAATTGGGGTTAGGGTTAGGGTGTCTGTTCGCAGTAACACTGTGACATTTGCACTTTTTAGCTGGCATAAACAGTATCTTTAGGAATTTGTTAATTGGGGTGGCCTTCTTGGGGGTTGCTTTTAAAATTACTTAAAAGGAGCAGAAAAAGAATAAGAATAAAAGGAGGAAGAAGAAATAGAAGAAGAAGAGTGAAGAAATAGAGGAAGAAGAGTGAAGAAATAGAGGAAGAAGAGTTAAGAAATAGAGGAAGAAGAGTGAAGAAATAGAGGAAGAAGAGTTAAGAAATAGAGGAAGAAGAATAAGAATAGAAGGAGAAAGAAGAAGTAGAAAAAGAAATAGAGGAAGAAGAGTGAAGAAATAGATTAAAAAGAATAAGAATAGAAGGAGGAAGAAGAAGTAGAAGAAGAAATAGAGGAAGAAGAAGTAGAAGAAGAAATAGAAGAAGAGTGAAGAAATAGAGGAAGAAGAATAAAAAAAAAAAGAAGATAATGATGATAAAAGAGAGTTACAAAAAGAGTTAATAATAAGTGAATAATCACCTGTCAGCAAAAAGCTAAATTAAATTCTTTTTAAAATTCAGAAAAGTGCCATTCAAACAGTTAAATTGATGCAACAAGTTTATGGGATAATTGTTTATTTCGTGCAAAAATTCAAAAATAGTGTGGAAATGATTACCAATGCACCTAGACCTGGACATCAAATTTCTGTTTGTAATGATGAACTCATTGCAAAAGTCAGAGAACGGATACAAGAAGATCATTGTTTTACTGTGAGGATGATGGCAGATGAATCTGGTGTTAATAGAGAGACCATACATAACATTTTAGTGCAAGATTTTGGCAAGAAAAAAATTGCTTGCCAGTTTGTACCACATTCGTTGACTGATCACCAAAATAACATCAGTGGTTTGAGTATCCCAAGAAACATTAAAAAAAAACAAGATTTTTTGGCTCACAAACATATTTCCCCAATTTGTCTCTCTGTGATTATTTTCTATTTCCAAAATTAAATTTACGATTGAAAGGACGCTTCTTAAATGATATTGATGACATCCAAAGGGCTGTAACAAAATTGACTGACAACCAGAATTTTCCGCTAGAGTTTACAGGCAGTGAGAAGAAGAAGAAGAAGAAGAAGAAGACAAAGAAGAAGAATAGAATGTTATATTAAATGTATATTGCTGTAATTTTTTATAGGAAAATTAATACATAAAATATCTTTACAGGAAAGGAGAGGAGATTTACATAACATACATCGACACGTCCATGCCCAAGCTTTTGCGCAAAGCTTGGTTATACAAATCTTTCAACTTCTGGTGCCAGTGCCAAAGATGCCAGTTTGAAGGGGAGCAGCCAAACGAATGCACTAACTGTCACAAGAAAGCTGAAGAGGGTAAAAAATTTGCTGCCTGCGGAAAATGTAAAAAAGCTTGGTACTGTGGTGTCGCTTGCCAGAAAGAAGCATGGAAGAAAGGCCACAAGATTATTTGCTTAGCTGGACACTCACAGGTAATACCACCTGAAGAATATAAGCCTTAAATGTAGTTGCTGTTTCAGTGTGCTTGTTGCTTCAAGCCCGAACTGTTTCAAAATAGTTATGCTATAGAATGACAGCTTTGAAGAAAATGCATTCTCTGCTATAAATTTATAGTTGAGCCTGGCAAACATAAATATCTAGTGTTTGAAAAGGATATCTTTAATTAAAAGAATACTACTCTGTGTAAACAGTGACCACTAATACATACACAAGACACTGTCAGACATTCAATCTGGATTTGTACGCAACTCTAAGAAAGAATCATCAACAGTAGCTGTAACATTAGTTACACAATTTCAAAATGTTGTAGACATACATACACTCATATGTACACATACTGTGAACACACATCATAAACTGACTTACACTTATATACACATGGTCACACACACTCACGCAATCTTGGTGGTGCATGCAGCTTTAAGAAAGAAATATGGGAGTATCTATAACATTAGTAAAATATATTTTGCAAACAGACTTACACTTTTCTGTGGCTGTATTACAGTCATGTGTGATACCATGGAGCTCGTGATACTTTGTGTGTGTGCATTGAGTTTTTGCCATATTCTGTGTTTGGTGTGTTTTTGTAATTGACACATTAGTGTATGCAGTATTATTGTTGTGATTCCTTGAATTGAAATAAAAACTTGTTTTGCTTTGACCTGTAATTTGTTCCCATATAGTGTGATATTCATTATATATTCATTTATTGCTTAAGTATTCTTGAACAGATATTATTTTGCATCTTACAGAATGATTATGAGAGCATTATCATCATGTAGCAGGTCATTTTCAGAATATGACTCTTATCTGCCTGAAAAAAACCTAATCTTTTGCTAGCTTGCCTGCCTCATGCACCACTTTGCTACCCAAGATGTCACATATATCCTGTGTCCATATTTGTTCTGGTCGGCCTCTATCCTTCTTTCCTCATACTTTGCCTTGTGATCATATTCTTTCGAATCCGCCATGGTGCATAATATAGCCAAAATATTTTAGTTTCAGAGACGAGATGCTGTTTACTAACCAATCTTCCTTAATGTTCAGATCTTTTAGAATGTCGGTATTTCTGTTTCTTATTGGTCTATGGTGTTCCGAGAATTTTTCTATAGCATTTCAGCTCAAAAGCCCAGATTTATTCTTTAATGGACTAGGAGATAATCCACAACTCACATCCATTTGTTGCTACAGGGAAGATGCATGCTTGCAAATATTGTAACTTTGATTTCATTGCTGATGCCTGCCCATAGAATTATAATACTGCTAGAGAACATTGTAGTTAGTGCAAAACTATTGTGGATGTGGCTTTTGTAATATATATTGAATGAGATTTGAAGTGCTGTGACACAAGTGTATCATTCACTTCTAGTTTGTCATAAGCTACCTTCTCCCATAGGGATTCCTTGGCTCCATTTTGGGGGTGGGGGATTGGGCACAAATATCTCACTACCTTCAACATGCATGTTAAAGGTGACTAACGTGTTGGTGCAGATATCACAGCCAGGCTGTAAACGACAATACAACCTGCCAAGCACCCTTTTAAGAGTGAACACAGAAAAAGAAGATTAGCTACCTGGTGCGGTGCGCAGTTTGTCTGACATACATGTGGCGTGATGCTGACCCATCACCCACTGAGGGCCGAATGGTCTTTAAAAATATGAGTCCTGCCTCATATGCCCAGCGCATCACTTGCATCTATAGGGACCTTTACTTTACTTTTTTTTTTTTAAAGAATTATTTTGTTAACAGGAATGAAATGACTTGCATGCTTTGTCTTTGTATTTGAAAGAAAGTTTTTAAACTGCATATTTATTCTTGTTAGTATCTCTGAAAATTACTAACCTTAGAAACGAGATGTCTGAGAAGGGCTGTAGGAGTGACCATAAGAAATAAAATCAAAAACGAGGTCAAGAAAGAAAAAAAAAAGGAGAAAAACGGCGCAGAACCAGTTCTGAGTTACATAAAAACACAGCAAATCAGTTGGTCTGGCCACTTAGAGAGAATGCTTTGGGACACCATACTACAGAAGATGAGAGAGACATAGAGCACAAGGTAGACCTAGAACTAGATGGAAAGATAACCTCAGAGAAACGGCAAAATATGTCTGTGGTTGAGATAATCAAAAGAGCAAAAAGCAGAACCTTATATCGTCCTAAGCACTTGAATCAGTAAAAGAAGTGAAGAAGAAGAAGAAGTGTCTCTAAAGTGTTAACACCTATAATCTCAATAAACACATGTTGTGTGATGAGCTCTTCTTCTTTGCAGTTTGTTCACATTTTTTTTTTGACAGCATGTCAGAGCACACTGAAGAAGTCTAGCTCCTCTAATGTCCACTTCAACTGTGTACGTTACATCTTGAAAAGAAATAATGCATGATAATGTACAGTGGTTATTTCCAACCTTTGGTATCTGATGTACAAAATTTGTAAACATTAAAGGGTTAAAATGTAAAATGAATAAAACTAGAACCTAACTATTAGTTATGATCTCACAGAAAAATATTTACAAAATGAGTTATGAGTTAAGAATTAAGAACCAACATCATAGCACTCAGAATTCCAATAAGCACTCCCTCCCCATCTTCAACAGCAGGCACTGTGTACTGATTCCAACGGTACTAGTAACAGCTCCCTCCATACCCTTTTTTTTCACTCCCAATTTGGGGTCCTGGAACCCACACAGGGAACCTAGCTGTCAACAAAATTGTCGGCAAAATACAACAAATTCACAAGTACGCAAATTTTAGGTACTAAATTTTTGAAGCTTTCTTTTTTCCATGACAGATCACAAAATCATAATAATACAGAATTATTGAAGTCTTATTTAACTGTTATTTGAAAAAAAAAAATTTTAGTTTGTTTTTGTTTACAGAATTATATTTCAGGTAACACATTGTTTGTTTAAATTCATAGGCACACAGACATATTGAAGTCTGAAAAGTTCCTTTGTAATTAGAAACATGTGTAAATGTAAAGGTTATATATTTAAATGTTTCCACCATAGATTTCGCTCACAAACTCTCAGCAAAGATTTGGGTCTGAATGTGGAAAGTCCATGTAAAAGGTTGAATTCTACCTGCAAATGTTTCATTGTTTGACTTAAACATTTCCCCTGTGACTGTCAGATTTCGGTACACTATAACAAGCATGTTGAACTGGCAACCTGCAGGTCACATGCGATCCTTAGCAAGCGCACCTGTGACCTGCACAAAAGAAATATTCAGCAACAATTTTTATTAAATAACTTTAATTGGCTGTGTTGTGTGACCCTGATGATGAAACACAAACATGATCCATATGGTCATTGGGAGACCCTCAGTTTGACATGCCGGCACTATATTATGGTATACTGCCATGTAGATCTTGCAGTTTGAAACATAACCTGTGCTGTAGGTGAGGCTTCTGCAAAGAATAAACTGAATGCCGCTCTACTTACTAGACTAAATAAAGATCATAGCAATTGTAGATAAGATCATCATTATCATCGACATCATCAACATAAAATAAAAGTAAAGGACTCTCTTTATGCCTGCAGGTGTATTGGGCTTATAAGGCTACTTCTATATTTTATAGATCAATCAGCACTCAGTGGGTGATGTCATCATCATCACACCAGTTGCCTGTACTTCCCAGGACTGTACCTGATACCTGGTTCGATCTGAGTCAAGATCATTTTTCAGCATAAAGGGCCCTTTTTATGTCTGTGGCAATTTGGGAATGTGATGCTAGGCTCAGATGTTGTTGGTGGCTGATGTGGTCAACATCATGATGAGTACCTTTACTTCCCAGGAAATTATGTGATACCAGTTTCAGGCTAGGTTGACCTGGGAGTCAAGCGTCATCATCATCCTCATCGTTACATAGCAGGTCCTTTGTTGAATGTTTCTCTGCACTGAAAAGCCTTTTCTCATCTTTAATCTTTAATCATGTGTTTATCATTCCAACTAACATTTGCTCCCAACAATAATTAAATATTTTTTTAATTAGTTATTATATTTTTACTTTACTTACTGATCTTAGTTGCTCAGTTCTTTAAACCCTTGATTTTATACAGTACTTTCCTGATCCTACCTACTCATAATCCTTTAATTACTTGTGTTATATATTACTTTATACTGATCCCGCCAATTTACAATCTTTTACATAATGTGTGTTATTTATTACTTTACTGATCCCACCTAATCATAACCCTCTATATAACTTTTTTTTTAAAAATACTACTTTCTGACCCCAAATATTATATTTTACTTTACTTGTTTTATATATTACTTTACCGATTTTACTTACTAAACAGTTTTTTTGTTTTCATTGCTAGCTGATCCCTATAACAGAGCAGGGCCATTCAACTAAGTTTACTCAGGGGTCAAATTGTCAGAAAATGATGATCCTCGCGGGCAAAGGCTGGAGCCCCTGTAAAGAAATGTCTCATACAATAAAATTAGTGGCTGATCTGTGCACCAATTGCTAAGCCTCTGCAGGCCAGATTTGGCTCGTGAGTTGCCAGTTAAATAGCCCTACACTAGAGTATAAATTTTACTACAACCTGTTATGTTTTCTATCCTTCTTAGGAAACAATTTTGAAATCCAGTATTTTTTAGAAACATAACACTGATTTGTGTTTCCCTCCAACCACAACTGAACATATTCCCTACTCATATGCCATTTTTAATTTGGAAATATTAATTTCACAGATTGAAATATTAATTTTACTATAATTTGAAATATTAATTGCACTGTCATTTGAAGTAATAATTTAATTATCTTAAGAAGCATTATTTGCAATACCAAAAATGCTTCTTTGACATCTGGCTCTTGCTTCTTATTATTATAGCTGTACTTAAATTATGAAATAAAAGATAAAATATTAATTTCTTCATGTTAAATTATATTAAAAATAAAACCAAATTAAATACTGCAATTTGTTGTGACATTTAAAGTAAGACTAATCTCACACTATTTTTATAATTTTACTGACTCTCATCTGTCAAAATTTGACATTATTCAAACAATAGAATATCTAAGTGGTCTATTTAAAAAAAAAATTATGAAATAATTTATATACAGGAAATATTACAAGAAATGACTAATTTATAATTTGTTATTCTACAACAAAATGGCAGCCCAGAAGCCCAGTTTTATGAAAAATCACTTGAAAGCTATATAAGTGCGGTTCTATAGAATTATCTGGAAGACTCTACAAACAGATAAAAAGAGAAATAGATATGTCTTGAAAGAACGCTAACACAGGAGAGAAATGACTGCATTCATAAGGATGGGATAACACATTCTTTGAGCATGGTATGAGAATGGAGGCACAAATATGTCACAACATGAAATTTAAGGCTTAGACAGAGACAGTGGAAATTTTATACAGAAGGTTTCAAACGGAAAATGAAAGCTGAAGAAATGTGGTATTATAGAAGAATGACGATAACACTAGACACATTAAAAGCATAAGAAAATATATGAAAAGGATTGTCACAAGAGCTATGCAGTTTGTGCTTTATGCGATGCTCATGGCAAGTGGAGATATACTGAACCATGTGGGATAAAACCAGCGCAGTTATGTCAAAATCCTAATTGTAAGCCTTAAATCTTCAAGTTCATTAATATAAAATCCAATGTTTAATTATTCCTAAACTGTTAAATATTAAATATTCAAAATTATATCAGTGTTAGATCTAAACTTGTCAACAACAATTGTTGAACAATTATTTGACAAATGAAAGTTCTGAAGCTACTATTTTTAAGTGCCTTGTTTTGTTTTTAATTTGATAAAAAAAATAATAGTAAATCATAAATATTTGAATAGCTGAAGTAAAAAGAGCAAGTTTTATAGCCTAATATATTAAAGCATGCATCTAAAGAACTAACATTTGAGTGCTCAGTTAGTTTCAGTTCATTTAATTCTTTGAGTCCCAAGGAACGCATCCTGCGTTAAAAGATTCCTACCTATAAGCCTAATAAATGCAAGATGCGCTCTTTTTTACTTCTCTATTCACTACCCCTTGGGCCTGTAATGTTAAACCCCCTGGGACTCAAAGAGTTAAGTAACTGCAACCTTTATATATCTTTTTTTTAAATACATTTTTTGGTGAAGTAACATATGTAAAGCCCATTTGATTATCTCTGTGTCATGCAGCTCAAAGAGGCCGAGTAAGGACAGCAGAAACGGACAGCTGGCAACAGTTGGGCTATGTCATAGCACTGTGGTGCCAGTTTTTTACGTTGGCTTGCCTACTACAACATTTAAAGTATTTAAGTATCACCTCAAGATAAAGTGGATATTTTTTTCAATTTAGTGACGTGCGTTTATGTTTTCATTCTGAAGCCTTGATTTGGCTTTTAAAGGACTTCTTTCACTTGAATCATACAAGCTGGTGTAGTGATTATGCACTGCTTTAAATGTGTGTTCTATATGTCTGCGGCTGACTGACATGATGGCAGCCCTAGCAACAACATTGACACATGTGGCCACTAGTATGAGAAAACGTCAGTCCAGGATTCTCACTGTCACAACAGAGTACACGCAACTGAGCTGACTTCCTCCTTTCTTGCTTCACTGGAGTGTTATAGTCATGTCCATACTACAACATCAAAGCTGATGGTAAAACTTTGCGGCACTGATGTGGAGAGATATGATTCCATGAGATACCTGGGTATAAAAGTTATGGCTGCTGCAAAATTAGAGCAATAGTTACTTGTAATGTTGAATCAGGGGTTAGTTCTCTCCACCACTGAAAATGCACTGGTCATCATAACATTCAACACCACACAGATAAAAAAAATTGGAAAAGCTGAAAACAAGGAAATTCATATTATTCCTGGATGCACTAGGGAAACCTCTTGTAAGTGCATGTGGTACGTCTCAGATTTCCCCACAGTGGATAACAGAATAAAGTTATCCATGGCCGCTGCTTTCCTAAAGGTGAAATCAGACCCCTTACACTCAGTTAAAAGCGGCAAATCATGGATAGGTTGTGGTGATATTATCCAAAAGATTCGCTGCCATACTGATATAAACCTTGGAATTGAATTGATTAGTAATTAGAAAGGATAATCATCACAGCACTCCGGACAGATCCATAGGTGCTCCAATCTCCTCCTCAGAAGCTCCACAAGTGTAAAACGACTGATGACACCTGTTCTGTGTTGGTTAATAAAACATCTTGTCCTTTTAGTGAAAAGTTCATTTCTTGCAGCTCCAGGCTGCACCCCCATGTCCATCAGTCTAGACAGGGATACGGAATCATGTCCTTTGGCGTGCTCCTCGGTACAGTAAGTGCAGCGCATGGCATTGATAACATCACTTCTGTCTGGTACTGGGCCAGCCATAGCAACCGCAGTGTCAGCAAGATACTCTGCATGCTCGTTCCCAATGGATACCCATGCCTGCTACGCCAAACATTAACATTACAGTTTGATAAAAGCTACAGAAAGCAGATTCTTGGCATAGTTGACACACTAGTCAGATCGCTGATTATTGAAAACACAGATGACAGTGATTCTGGAGTTTACATGGATGGATCAATAATATGGGGCAAGCGAAGTGCATGGGCGTTCACAGTGAACTCTGGAAACTTTGTTAAACAGCATAATTTTCATGACTTTTGCATTTTACTGGTTTGTACCTTTCCTGTTATTAACATTTGTTCCATTACATTTTCCCATGCATATATTTTAATTCCCTCCCCCTTACTACCTTACTACTAGTTTTTTTCAACCTCTACTAAGTTTGTGAACAATTCCTTAATCCATAGTTGATTTTTAAATAATTTTTATTTTTGAAGAATGTTTATCTTGGAATTAATGTTTCTGCTTGCACTGCTTTGAACCTGATCATAACTCCAGTATTTCCTACCCACAAGACTCCTAATCTAAAACTGAAAAATACCTGGCTTATTTTAATGTGAAAAATTATTTGGATACTGCGGAGATATGGTTTTATAGATGAATGATAAGAATACCTTGGGCAGATAAAAAGAGCAATGAAGATGTCTTGAAAGAAATCGACTCACAAAGAGAACTGATTGCTCACTTCAGAAAGAAACAATCTACATTCTTTGGACATGTAATGAGAAAAAGAAAACTGGAGTACATTGTGACAGTAGGAAAGTTGGAGGGGAGGAGAGGCAGAGGGAGACCAAGAGAATAGATGCTGGACAGTTTGACATCATGGCATGGAGAATCATATGTGTCAGAGTTGATTGGAAACACACAAGACAGAAGGTTGTGGGCAGACATGATTAACAACGCCACATGGCATGGACTTTAAGAAGAAGATTTAAATGTATGTTTTCTCCTTGATGCCTAGCAGTATGCAGAGAATTTTAAAACAACTGGTGTTTGATTATATGCCAGGAACAGGTACCGTGTTCACGCAAGAATACATACAGTTCAACCGTCTCAACAGCATTTTTTGTGAATAAAACTATACAAAATGTTTGCCTGCTTGTTATTTTATGGAAAAGTGTAGCTTGGAAGAGTTAAGTCAAGAATTGTCATCATAGCACTCAGGGCATTCCCATGCCTGCTCCGTCCCCAGCTTCAGCAGCCAGTGCAGAGTTCCAATACTGATGGTACCGGTCACAATTTGGTTATATGTCTGTCTTGCCTTTCCTTTGAGTGTAGGGAGCCGGCCAGACCCTCTGGTGAAACTATGGCGAAAGTTCTGCTTGTTTGTTTGCCTCTAGACTTTAGCCTTGTTCAAGAACCTGAGCGTTGTGTGCAGATCCGTTTACAGACCTGGCTTATTTGTATGCAGACTGTTGGTTCCTCTCCTCTCAGGCAGATGCACTCTGATGTCAAAGGATGCCCCCCCCCCTCCCTTCCATTTAGTCAAATCCAATGACATGCTTGTTGGAGAGGCAGGGGGGACTATTCCTATTTTCCTGACAATAGGCCCCCGTAACCCACAAGGGGAAAATGTGTGGCTGAAAGCCACAAATATTGCTATAGACCAACAGTTCTCAAGCTATGGCTCACGACCTTTTTTTTGGGGTCGAACAACACTTTGACAGAGGTCACCAAAGACCATCGCAAAACACATTTTTAATTGATGATATGAAGTAGCAACAAAAATAATGGTATGGTTGGGGGGTCACCACAACATCAGGAACTGTATTCAAGGAAGAACCTCTGCTACAGACAGACATCCACATGTTACTCGGGCCCACACAGGACTGCAGGCTGCACTAGCCGGTGTGGCCAGCATGGATGCCCCAATTATATCTTCTTTGGAGGTTGAATAGGGTATCTAAAATTTACTTGCCATCGAAATTGAAAACAGTTAGTTGCGTATTCTTTACAGGATATTGCAGAACCAACCCCCAGCATTTTTTGGGGGGCTGTTTTGGTTTTTCTAGGCAAATTTAACATTTAGTAATTTGTCACTGTTTTTCTAAACGGTCGGCTCTCAATACCACTGTTGAAACCAATGCAAGGTGAAAAATCGCCTGCAGCTGGGAACGAAGCACGTTCACAACCCCTAAGCCACAGACGCCGATAGAAATAAAAACACAGAGGACAAAAATGTTTGTGGAAATAGTGCTGGTGATACTGATTGTGGAAATAGTGCTGGTGAGAAGGAGTGTGGGAATAGAGCTGGTGAGATTGATTATGGAAATAGTGCTGGTGAGATTGGTTATGGAAATAGTGCTGGTGAGATTGGTTATGGAAATAGTGCTGGTGAGCTGAACTGTATAAAATGTTGAAGACATACACCTTAAAGGAATGTTAACTTAGCGCTGCTATTGTCAGCTGGGGTGGGTGAAAAGGGTTAGTAAGTTATTATATACTTAGAAAGAGATAAGTGTTTAAAAGTATAATTGAAATGACTGTGTAAATAGGTGTGCAGTGTTGACAGATAAATTGCTAAACATTATTTCTGAATATAGTAGATTTCAAGAGAGAGAGCATAATTATGTAAATTGTGTAAAGGTGTCAAGAATTTGGTTAAAATAGTGTGTTTGGAATAATTTCATGAATATTTCAGTGGAAACAATCCACAACACAAGAAAACAACAGCTACATTAATGAAAATTTAGAACCAAGCGTAAAACTTGCAGAAATAAGATAAGCTGTTAAAGAGGCATCTTTCAACAAAGCACTAGGCCCTGACGATATACCTGCTAAACTAAAAGAACACTGTTCAGCCCAATATTCTTACCAACGCTATGCTATCAATGTCAAACATGGACACTGTCTTCAGAAGACAGAAGAAAATAGTCACGACATAAATGAAATGTTTACGTACTATGCTAGGTGTAACGAGGAAAGATCAACTTAGGAACAAGGACAACAGGAGGAGAGTCAGCACATAACCAATACTGAACTTTATCCGTAGACAAGAAATCAAATGGTTTGGTCATGTAATAAGACTGGCAGTAGAGAGGGCACCAAAGAGAGCAATGTTATATAGATACAGAGTAACAGAGTCAGAGGTGGGCCACATAGAAATAGACCGCAGAAATATCGGAAATACTGAAAAGTACTTTATCCGAAGAGAATAAAAGAGCCCGTTCCAGAGATCTCTTCCTGCTCTGACGCTGTCAGGCATTCCAGGAGTAGAGAAAAGAAGAAGAAGATTGACTGGCCTAGTGGTTAAGGTGATGGATTTTTTACCCCGGACAGAAATAAAATCTTAACCTGCACTGTTCATGCCAATTGCACCATTCAGTTGTAAATCTTCATGCTGAGCTGTGTTGGCAGGAACAAAAGATAAAATAGGTAACATGACAGCATTTCATCAGAAAGACACGTTTAATTCTGTGAACAAAAATATACTTTCTTCAAAACATGCCCATAATAATAAACGTTTATTATATAACACTAATTGATGATTAGTAGAGGCGGCCGGCGTGATGCTGACCACATCACCCATCTTGTGCCGTTGGTGTATAAAAATATAGGTCTAGCCCTATATGCCCTATACACCTAAAGGCGTGGAAAGGGTCCTTTACTTTTTTTTTTCTTTAATTGATGATTAGATCTAATCCAGTTATAAATTTTAAAATGGCAGACAAAGCCCAAATAAAGTACATAATTGTGCACAACTATAAATATAGAATATGTTATGACACGGATCACACACTGTGTTATGATTATTATAATTAGGATATTATATTAGCATAAATTCAGCAACTAACTAACTACATACAAATGACATAACATCTTACATTAAGATCAACTTCAGCAAAAATGATTACTTCAGACACCAAACATAACATTACATTAGCATAATTTTAGCAACTAACTTCACACATCTGACATATCTAATATTTACATCAAATTCAGTAGTTGCACTTTCTTCAGAATCTGACCAATCACCAAACTGCTGTACTTTCTTTAGAATCTGACCAATCACCAAACTGCTGTACTTTCTTTAGAATCTGACCAATCACCACACTGCTGTACTTTCTTTAGATATCTGACCAATCACCAAACTGTTGTACTATCTTTAGATATCTGACCAATCACCAAACTGCTGTACTTTCTTTAGATATCAGACCAATCACCAAACTGCTGTACTTCCTATAGATATCAGACCAATCACCAAACTGCTGTACTTCCTATAGATATCAGACCAATCACCAAACTGCTGTACTTCCTATAGATATCAGACCAATCACCAAACTGCTGTACTTCCTATAGATATCAGACCAATCACCAAACTGCTGTACTTCCTATAGATATCAGACCAATCACCAAAGTGCTGTACTTCCTTTAGATATCTGACCAATTGCCACATTGCTGTACTTCCTATAGATATCTGACCAATCACCAAACTGCTGTACTTTCTTTAGATATCAGACCAATCACCAAACTGCTGTACTTCCTATAGATATCAGACCAATCACCAAAGTGCTGTACTTCCTTTAGATATCTGACCAATTGCCACATTGCTGTACTTTCTTCAGACATCTAACCAATCACCACACTGCTGAACTTTCTTCAGACACGTGACCAATCACCACTTTGTTGTACTTTCTTCAGACATCTGACCAATCACCAAACTGCTGTACTTTCTTTAGATTTCTGACCAATCACCAAACTCTGTACTTTCTTCAGACATCTGACCAATCACCACACTGCTGTACTTTCTTTAGATATCTGACCAATCACTGAACTTTGCTATTTTTCTCATTGGTGAATCCAAATTCTCTTCATTCTTCCTTTTGGTGTGTTTTATTTCAGACAACTCCGATGGTTCCTGTTCTCCGCTGTTATTTTCAGTTTCACCTGCATATGAACCAACATGCTCAGGCACAACGACATTCTGACACTCTCTTGTTTTACCTTGCCCTGAGGTTTTACCTAAATTTATATTTCCAAAATAAACATTATTACAGTCATTCAGTGCATTACTGCTGTCTGAATTTAAATGTACTTTGGCTCTTTTCTCAAATGATGCTCTCATTTCTGCTTCAGGTGACCTTGCTGTCCAACAACTGTCTTCCTTGTGCTGGTCTCTGCCAGGTTCCTTTATCAGGCACCCATTCATTGGCTTGCCATCGTTCCAGCTGCCAGGGTTGTCGAAGCCATCCACATCTGTAAGCAGATCTGAAACTGTGGTTATTTCAAATCCTTGGCTGGAATTTAACTCATCAGATACATCTGCTTCTGATGAGGCATTGCTTTCTACTTCATCTGAATCCTGACGCAGAATTTTTACCAGTAAGGTCTCACTTTCATCCCAAACATAATCAAGCCCCTTACTTTGTAGAAGTTTGCCCCTGTCTTCTACAGAAGTCACACTGTTATTATCACTTGTATATGTTTGCAAATGTAATATTTCTGCACCACTTGGCAAGGACTTTTTCAAGCTAACTGTTGACACAACAGAACTAACCACATCATCTGTAACTTGTTCAGTGCATTGCTTATTCCTGATTTCAGTTCCGCCTTTCTCACAAATGACTGTAAAATCAACTTTCTTTTGTTGTTCATTAAACTCACTATCACAAACAGTTTTGGCCATGTTTTTACAATGGAATTCTTTGCCAGAACAATCTGTATTCATGTTGACAGGAATGCTGAACTTATCATGAACAGTTTCTCCAGCAGTAGTAGTTTGTGAATCTTCTCTCGGAGAGCTCTGCAATTGGTAGAAGGCAATCTCTTCCCCATCTTCTTCAAAGGAAGACTTGTCTGTGCCGGTGTCACACTGTGACCACACCAAGTTGAGTTCTTCTTCATTGGTTAGGTCACTTACTTGACTTGTGACTGACTCTTTATCATCTTCATCATTATGGTCATTAATCTCACTTGTAACCAGCAAATTATCCCCTTCATAAAGGTCATTAATCTCACTTGTAATCAGCAAATTATCCCCTTCATTAAGGTTATTAATCTCATTTGTAACCAGCAAATTATCCCCTTCATTAAGGTCAGTAATCTCACTTGAAACTAACCTGTCTTTTACTTCACT